CGCGGTGGCTTATGCGCTGGTCACCCACACTGTGCTGAGGTTCCCCTAAAAAAACCGCCCAGCTGTAACACCCTTCCGGTGCCTAGCTGCCATGCTACACGAAGGAAGCACGAGGGCAGGGGAAGTCGAGAGTTGCCCAAGCCTAGACAGGGGAAGTCGAGAGGCAGAGGTCGGGTTCGAACCGCGGACCCTCCGGTCAGTGAATTCGCGCTCTAACCACTTGGGCCACTTGAGGTTTCCCTGCGAAACTTTAAGTCACGAGTAGATTAGACAGTCCGGAAAACCAAAAAGGAGAGTTGGATTTGAAAGCTTGAAACGAAGATGGGCAAAATTAAACATCTCAACTGTCGTCACGGTGCCAACACTGACCGATACAGTGCAGCAGGAATGTCCACAAACCAAATAACAGCACGCGGAAGATTGACTCGGTGGTGTGGATTGAAGTTGTCCCTTCGAGGACGGTTCTGGATATCAAGACAGAGCAAGACAAACCCAACAGATGTATCGAGGACACGCATGGGTAAGTAGATCAGTGACCAAGACACACGCACATGCACGGAGGCGAAACAAGTGGATATCAAAAGTACACGGGCGGAGGAAGCAACTGAATGGTGCACCGGTGGAGCAGTGGCATACAGCTGCCTCGCACGTCAGATATGCGGATAGGCACTGCTGATGAGCCCTAATAAGAGCAAGACTCGAGTTCGGTGCTTTCATTTGGACTCACCAGAATGAATGTGGGATGACGGAGGGTGACTGTACAAACAAGACTGATGTGAACATGAATTATAATGATATCCAATTATATTCGATGAGCTTGGTTTCTGGCTGTTACTAGCTGCACTGATTCTATGTAGGTACTCTTTAAATGTCGAGAGGAATGTGAGTAGTTCAAGTGTACTGGCCGGCCGTTGATCAGTTCGACGAGCTACGTAGTGAAACTGAACAGGTTTCGCTTTCAATTGCGGAGACATCATCAATACATGATGAGGTGGCTATTTCGCCCACTTCTTCTTCGCGCTAGTTGACTCATTAGTTGTCTGATCCTTCGTGGGATTCAGAGTCCACCCGACGTAAAATTCCTCTATTGACGGGCGGCTGATAGACTGGGTTGGTGTCTATATGTCGAGTACCAAGCCACGACAAACTTCCACTCCCATTTTATCTTTGTATGGGAAAGTACTTGGACATTATACCAGCTAATTTTCCTCTGCCTGTCTGCGTTGTTCATACCATTGTCCATCCAAAGTAGACTGCCAAGCATAGATCCGGCGGTTCGCAGCTACCTTCTTCCGCGAGCGTACTATTTATGCTATTCGGACGTTCCAAAGTCCAGCACGACACACTGAGTACGAGAGTTTGCTAGAACACACAACGCAAAAATACCGCCATATCCTTTGAGGTCAACAGTCGAGTTATCTAGTTTGATATCACTCGTAAACGATTTGATTGCCTATTGATAAGTTGATGCGGTCAATAGATAGAATTAATTACAATGGCCAAATATTAATCTATATGATCAACAAATTCCCTGAATTATTCCAAACATGTGACGTATGCGTGAGAGAAGCAGCTTAAGGCTGCAGAAGTTGGCACTGGAAATGACTAGAAGGCTCTCTGCCAACGGACAATGCTGCTTGGCTGCGTTAATAAGGGAAGGTCTGGTGGTCGTAGTGAGTGAGCATTATTTCTGACTACTATTGAATAAACAGTAGGCGAGAGAGGAGCGATAATATTCATGTGAGTGCCTGTCTGGGATCGCCGGCAGGACGGGTGCACGCACACGAGCTTGTCAGTGAGAAAAGGGAAAACGGGCTTTCAGGATAGTTTCTGAGTAACCACCGCAGAAGTGGTTAGTGTATCCAAATCCACTCATTTTTTTGTAGGAAGGGGCTCGGTTGCATTTCACCCCGACTGGGGTCAAAGCATGCCAAGCACTGTGATCTCAAACCGGTATGACACTAGTATCTCCACTAGTGTCTTTACCTCTCCTTGTTCCAAGGAGTATAGAAAACGAGGCTAAAAATAACATCAACAATTACCAAGATATTAGATCTGTACCCGCAAGCCTCATCACGTTCAACCTATGTGGTCTGGTTTATATCCAACGAACTCTAGTGAAATTTTGTTACGTTAAAATTCACCACCTTTACTATTCTTATGCAGTGGATCTTAATCATTTATGGTTACTTAGTACAGAAACCATTTTTATCAAATTACACGATCTGCGCTGATATTCCATGTACCCGTTCACCACGCCAATGCCTTTCTAATATTCGAACTTACACATGAGAGACATCCCCACAATGAGCATCAGGAATCCAGGATAATGATGGACAACCGGATTTCCCACAATCAACTGCAATCGGCCTGCAACGGTCGCACCTCCCGGGAAGCAGAACCCCGGTCAAGTTGGTAGCTAGCTTCAATTCACTTCAGTTATAGAGCAACCACAGTCAAAGTCTAACGAAGCATCGTACAGTGCTCGTAAAAAAGGGCCGTCTCATGGTCAACTTTCTGGACTATTGCTGAATCCCGGGATTTTATTTCGTCGGACTGACAGATTTCGCAGGCACTATTGTCATAACCTTTCGAGCCAGGATCAACAGAGCTTTCTCACCGGAAACAAGTAGAACATAAGGTTGACGGAAACTCGGGGACTGCGCCCACCTGATGAACCCCAAAAAGGGCGAAACCGGTCGTGGGCTGTTGACGGATTTTCAGCAACCTTATGAGTAGTACGTTACAAATATATTACAAGTGCTTACTCATGTTAGCCTACACACACATTGTCCGACTAAGCCCCTCCAACAGCTGGTAGTAAAGCATATGGACAACAAAGGAAAAAACGTGCACCTTACAGACAAGGGGAGAAGATGAGTGTAACGATAGAAGGAGAAGAGGTGGAAGAAAATGCTGTTCATCCACAAGTTGGCAGTACTATCCGTGCTCTTGGAGAATAGCGGCCCTAGCTGAGGGTGACGTTATGATGAGGTTCGCATCGACAAGGCTCTATAGAGAATGTGCCGATGAGTTTGATGTAGTAAAATCTATCACGGATCCCAATATGTTACTCTGCTGGGGACATTTTCAGTACATGTGAGCTACCTTGACCACTGGTTTCCGATAACGGCCTTCATTCTCTCATTTGTTGAAATCGTGTACATTGTTTAGTAAATTCATTTTGTGTCCATGGAACAGAACCCTCTACCTTTCGAATCGCAACAAAATAACCAAGATATATCGAGTCGTCCATCTGTGCAGCATCACAACTATATAGTGTATATTCTGCAACAGCGACACTGCTTCCAGCAATCAAAAATGGTTGTGTTTCTTGATCTGAAAGCTGCCTTTGGCTCTGCGGACCGCCAGGCACTGTCTGTGGAGCAAAGGTGCCCCCCATAAATCCTTGGCCCTCCTTAAGGCGCTGTACGCCGACTTCTGCGGCCGTGTGAAGGTCCATGGGAAGCTCTTTTCTGAGTTCACCACATCAAATGGTGTCGGACAGGACTATCCTCTTCTACTTTTCCCCTTCAACCTCGTCATTGATACAATTAGGGAAGACTCACTATCAACCTATAATGTCTGTGGGGTCGAAGTGCTCCCTGGGCATCCGCTCACAGATATCGAGTACTCAGATGACAAGGCTCTTTTTGGATTTGACCCTGTGGTAATGCAAACAATATTAAATAATCCAAACAGATTGGGATGAGCTTCACACCTGCATAGTGTACAGTGCTACTGCAAGACCGAGTGGGCTCGAACCCTAGTCTCATGCTTGCGGATGAATCGACTGAGGTAGTAGACATCTGTCTACCTAGGCAGCTGTATCATCCCCGGTGGTCACGTGAAAGATGATATTTCCATCCGGACTAGACATTACTATATAGATCAGAAACCTGGCTGTTGCTCACTGAGGATGTCAAGTGATTTTCAGTGTTTGACCATCAATGTCTTCGGAGCATTGCCCGAGTCTGGTGGGAACACCGGATCAGCAATGTTGAACTATCTCAAATGGTATTCGGGAGAAATAATTCACCCAGAATAGATGAATTGATCACACTTCATAGGTTGCGCTGACTCGGCCACGTGCTCCGTACGTTAAATTAAGTGAGGATGGTGTGGTTACGGTATAAAACCGTTGACAGTTTTCCCCGTAACACAACTCTCGTAGCGATAATGCGGAATCGGTACCTCAATTTGTGACGGAATGCGTACGACTTCATGACGAATATAGAGCAAATGACCGCACACTGGGAAAACTATGTAAGCAAGCCCACGGGTGACGGTATAATGCTCACTGACAAAGAAATCGCATTTGTAGGATTTTGGCAAGAGTATACCGTAAAGAGTGCGTCCTTCAGTGTCATTCAAGCAAATGTCCCTCTTTGGTGTTCATCACTCTTCGTTTGGGATCCCTGGGTTTAATCCATTCATGGCAAAAGAAGTCTCAAGACAACAATAAAGACAATCACTCAGCTGCAATGCCTTTTCGGTGCCCAACTGCCATGCCGCCCGAAGAAAGCACGAGGGCTGTGATACTACCAGGTTGCCCAAGCCTAGACACGGGAAGTCGAGAGGCAGAGGTCGGATTCGAACCACGGACCTTCCGGTCAGTGAATTCGCGCTCTAACCACTTGAGCCATCTCGCCCCAAAAAAAGTCTCAGCTGTTTACGTGTCTTCCGTTCAGACTACCAAGATATAGACTGCAAAAAGGTTGCGTCCTTAAGAAAAACGATCCCTAAAACACACCGCCTACAAGAATTTCAAGAACATCCTTCCCCTAGCTGGGGAAACGGAAGATGAGATGGCAATCGAAACTACAAAACCGATACTGAAATTCCTTACCAAGCTCAGGAAGGAAAACCAACACAAGTATATGCCCTACAAGCGGATGACGATAATACAAGGCTAGTGGAGAGTGGATCCGTACCCAGTGTGCTAGGATGGGTCATCCCGGGGGATGACCAATTTTGCTATAAAAAAATCACTTACTTACCTCAATTGGATGTGAGTTGGCCAATGCGTCTAGTCGAAGCGCACAGGCTAATTCGCCGTAGGTGAAGTGAGTCTGGGGAACCAGGGAAAAAAGAGCAGAAACAGGTGGACTTTGGTGTTAGCGATAGTTGTGCACATCCCGTTGGTCAACAAAGAGTAACAGCAGTTAGCATACAAAGTTAGATTGATTCAGTGATTTCTATTAGTTTACGCGTACGGACTTTATGTGAAATCGACTCTTTGGGGTGAAATAAACACTAGCTGTGAACTTCGAAAATACCGCATCATAATATACTTTAAAGTTAGATAGACCTTGAAAAAGACCCAGTTTAAATTGTCCACCAGATAACATTTAGATTAAAGGGTCCTTATTTCGGCCGAACTCCTCGAGTCGTGGTCTCTTTAAAGGTGAGCGAAACACATAAAGTTGTAAAGTACGTACAGCTTGACAACCGAGGATGCGAAATGAGGGTCAATTTTGTCGCTCAGCCTTCAAAACTGGTGCGTCTTTAAATCTGGATTTCACCTTGAAACCTGCGCCTGTCAAAAAGCTCAAAAGCATTGTCAAACTATTTGCTTCTCACTGAAACTCAGAAGCCGTGCACATCTCACAAATCTATACAGAGATTCAAACGTAGACTGCGTGCGGAACGGAATCCGCTAACCAAGGCCTCAGTGTGCCACTTAGAAGCATCGGCTATACTCAGACCAACATTCTGCTTAAGGGATGCTGTCTCACGAAGTCTCAGTAGCGCACAAGTGAGGGCGAGATGGCTCAGTGCGAATTTGCTAACCGGACAGTCCGTGGTTCGAACTCGACCTCTGCCTCTTGATTCCCCCCGCCTAAGCTTGGACCACTTAACAGTATCCCAGCCCTCGTGCTTCCTTCTGATAGCATGGCAGTTAGGCACCGAGAGGGTGCTACAACTGAGTTTTTTTTACAAGTGAGGGTGATTCTGGTGGATTGGGCGAAGTGTAGTAAATTGTTTGAAGGGACTTCTTTAGTTCCACTGTAGCCTTACAAGGCGCACTTTCCTTCGGATTTCAGGGATGCGCATGGTATAAAAGTCAAGGAACAATAGGAATTTGGCGAGTATTATATTCTCCAAAGGCAAGTCGACCGAGGTCGACTATAGTGGCCCTGGTAAGAGTGGAAACAAAGTATAGAAATAAGACCAGTATTTTCACACATAAGGGTGAAGACTCAAAAGATATCTGGATATCATAACAGGGGTTAAAAAGAACAATACTGTGCACCAGGGACACCATACGTGCTTACTTCCAAAGAAGAATCAGTGATCAGTGTTCCAATGTAACCCAAACACATCAGTCCAAATGAATCTTCATAGCGGAAAACAATAAAATGGGGAAAATGTAAGGCCCTATTCTGGTCTACCACAAATGAGCGAGGAGTCCTCGCTTCGATAATTTGAATAGGAACTGATAACGCAAACAGCACTGGCACCCGGGCATAGCTACACTTTGTAGCGTCCTCAAAAAATCCGAGAACTGGGTCCTGGAAAGCGAATCACACCCAGACTTGTGTAACCACTTCTATTCCCCTTTGTTTAGTCATACGTCATTGGCCCTTTTGGTTCCATCGATCTGAACATCAGCTCAAAACTCACAAAACATGGAAGATCCACTACTACTTGTGGTGCTGCAAACATCCAGCCGAAATCAGTTGTTGCTCTGAGATATCTAAGGGCCCGTCAGACTATGTTACCAACAAATCTGCGAATTAGAAGTGATCTGTAGTGACTGTTCCCCGAACGAGATGAAAACTAGCTTCATAAATGTTTCCCTTCCTCTGTCGAGAACAGTCCTCAGTGGTTGCGTGTCCTTGGGAAATAACAAAGGATTGCGCCAACCCGTCAGTCTGCCAAAACTGACCAAAGATTGATCTTCAGTGGATATGAAAACGATCAGCTCAAATGTGGGGGCGTTAACAAAGGAGACAACTCACCCAAATATCCATTTCGGGAAAACAGTGGTTGGTACAAAGGTATTCGATCCACGTGGCAAAACCTTCCTTAAGCCAGAGGTCGGTCCACCATTCCATCGTAACTAAATTCCCGAACCACATATGGGCCAGCTCATGGGAGACGGTCAGGGCGATTGACTGTTTGGAACCAGGCGAGGCGGTGTCTTTCTCGGCTAACAACGTGCGCTCGCTTAAAAGGACAATGGAAGATGAATGCAGAGCACGCAGACAGAATGGGCTCGTTCGGGTATTGGAGGGTGATGGAATTTGCTTACCGATATGTGACCAGTCCCCAATTTTCCATTGCGCCACCAGAAAAGTCTGGGATCGCAAGCATATCGCATTTTGGCAAAGGGTATCGAACGCCAAAGTAGTCACCAAAGAATGGCAAGCTACGACACGCCGTATCCAAGGCCAGTTCACCACGTCCAGCTTCGGTAACGAGGCCAGGACGAGAGTAGACACGAACCAAAACGCCGTTTCCGTCCCGAGCCTGAGAAGAATGGCAAAAACAAACACATCAAACCGATTTTCCAAGGCTCCCTGAATTTGTACACCGTGTACACACTCGAGTACGTACGGACTAGAGTAAGAATAGGAAACAAAACTCCGAATACGTGGATAAGGACAGTGGGACAGTCTGATTCGGAAGCGATCAAGTAACGAGTTGTCTCTTGGAACGAAACTAATCACAGGACAGGAATCCTTCTTTCGAGATATCACTTATCGGAGGTGGTCAAGAACTAAGGCGCGATGAAAAAGGCTAACTTAAGACCCGGTAGAGATTAGTTGAAATTGCAAGAAAGGAAAAACACACTTGTTGCAGTAGCGGTCTGTTTAAAACGCATGAAAAGAGGTTTACTGTGCACTGTATAGACGTAATGTACTACTCATAAAGTTGCTGAAAACTCTTCAACAGCCCACGGCCAGTTTTGCCCTTCCTGAGGCTCGTCGGACAAGTGCAGTGCCCGAGTTTCCATCATCCCTACGTTCTACTTGAACCCAAATTGCACGAAATTCGACTTTTACACTCATTTGCATGCTAATTGGATTGTAACGGGAGACTCACCTGGAGCCTAGCTGAATTTTTGGTTTATGACGTCTAAAAAGCACCATAAACGAAAGATTCAGCAGGGTTCCCATCAAAACCAAATTAGCATGCAAATGAGTGTACTTCGCTAATTTACTGTGCCTATTTGTAATATTTATCTCCACTTTGACTTCGACCGCCGGAAAACAGCTGCTAATGGCCGCCAGCGACCGCTGCGGTTGCTCGAACGGAAATAATTCCACCAAAGCCTGCTCTGGTCAGCCCGTCCATGCAGTTGCTACACGAAGCGAACACTAACGGCGAACTGAGGTGTACTTGAGAGCCCTATTAATTTTATCAGGTGATCGTAATGCTTTGTGTTTTGAGTTCAAATCATCGACTGTACTTCACCAACATGCGACGCTACTCGACGTCTGCTCTCTACAGGGTAACCTTGGAAACAAATTGGTGTATAGGATATGACCAGCAATACGTACAAAGTTGCTGAGGACTCTTTGGAAGCCCACTATCGATTGTAGCCTTCCTGAGTCTCACCAGGCAAGCATAGTCGGTAGCCAAGTGTCTCCTACTTGAGCACCAAACTTTACTTTTTTGGAGTTATGCATTCCTTGGCAAATTAGCTTTGCACAGACTGGGGACTATTATAAACGAGATATTCGGCTGATATCCAGTTAATAGTGTTGATTTGCACATGAATGTATAGCCCCACTCGTTGGACAGAGTTGCCTTCAAAAAAGCCTCAGACAGCATAAGTAACGACTGTTATGGTATTAGTCTGATCACAGCCAAAATGTTTGCATCGAAGTGGGTTTTGCATGACAAGCCCAGTAACAACAACGATAATAATGATAATCGTTCAACTGTAATGCCCTTTCGGTGCCTAGCTGTCATGCCATCCACAAGAAGTACAAGGTCGTCCAAGCCTCGAGCAGTCGAGACATCGGGGTTGAGTTCGAAATACGGACCTTCCGGTCAGCAAGTTCGCATCTAAACCATTGAATTACTTCAAGCACAGTCGACTGTCAACGTTCATATGAACCTTAGATTTCCAGTTCGCAGTAAAGCATTCCTAGACAAAGCGTTTTTAAGCGATCAGCACCCAACCCTTTTAAGTCCTCTCATTTCGNGCTTTCCTGCTGAAAGAAACGTCTCTAAAGCTTGTGTGGCGAAAAGAAGCAAAAAAGGACTAGCCACAATTGCATCACGAAATCGCCCACATCAGGGTCTTGTCCAATTCGTCGCCGGTGTTCCTTGTCTCACGTATTTTTTTCAAAAGAACATGATGCCGTTGTATTCTCTAAGGAGAACGTTGTAATTCTCGCTCGGTAGTTTTCGCCATCAAGCTTGCTCAGCCCTCAAAACACGGAAATGTCTCCCTATTTCCACTAACAAAACGTCATCAGACCCTGCAGTTCCTTATCGCTTGGAGACCATTATAAGGGCCAGAAGGCAGTCCGTTACTGTTACAAAACTTCACTGGTTCTGTGGTTCCATGCTTGGGAAAAGTACGACTTTATTGTTATTTCAGAGCAATTCACTTTACACCAGTTCCCTGAGTCCCTCGTCGTCAAGCCACTTCTGGGAAACTCCGAACGCTGTAACTTCCCCAGTGCCCATTATTATGTATGGGCATGTGTAGACCGCGTTCAGCAAGATGGCTTTGTTGGACTGTCTGTCTGTCTGAATTATCTTTCCCAGTTCGATCACATAAAACCCATGGCTTCCCTTTGACAATCCCAAAAGCTTGCTTTCCTTCTAGGCTCCCGGAGTTGCACGTATAATGTGGTATTCCTTGAATCCCTTTCGATTTATCGAGTCCAATGTGGAAGCAATACACCTCATCGGCGAATCACATTGGAACCTTATGGTGTCTTGCAGATAGAGGAGACGTAGCTCGTCCGTATCCTCTTTACAAGTACCACCATGGTTGGCGTTCCTTAGAACTTGCGGTGACGTCACCCTTCGCTATTGCTTTTACCGCCCCACTCACCGCTACAACACTAGATACTGCTCTCAAGTGGTCACGCTTCGTTGTTGAACTGAACCCTAGGACTCCACATTCTTTCCCCGGAGGGTCAAAACTTTAGACTATCTTTTAACTATAGTTTCTCACACATCTTACGACCTTCCCTGTTCCCTATTTCGAGTTAACAGTTAAAGCCTTCCGGGTGTTGCTCTCCATTGTCGTCTTCGTGTTGCGAATTCTCGGTTTTTGTGAAATATTTCCGACTTTAGGGCTCAACCCTCTATGTGGCTTCTCGCTTTCACATAATAAAAATCGTATACTCTCTTCCTGGTTTGACGACAGCGAACCGCATTTCGGAACCAGCACTGTCCTCAGAACTATTCAGTCAGTTGACACTACCCCCCCCCACTGGTGCGCAATCAATGGTGTGACCGTTGAACCTATTTGATTCTGAGGTTTTTTCATATTTCCAAAGAAAAGTCCAAAGAAGGTAATCGGCTGTTGATCGCTTTGAGAGGAATCTATA